TACGAACACCTATCTCGTGGGCGTAAAAAGTCTGCTGACCTTGAACTTTACCGCGGCGTACAAAGTCTGCCCGTGCGAACGCACGCTTACTATGTTACAATTTACCATGACTCAAAATATAGAAAACCAGGTGTTGCTCGCGACTTCGCATGCTGAAATTAAAAAATAATAAACAAATTGGCCTTGTTACTCTCTGATAACGTAGCTTCTTAAATGGTGAAGAATTTTTGAAATCGGCCCAGTAGTGTTTGTGTTATTTCCATACATAAAAAATCTTTCCTCATTAAATAAAGAAAGAAAGAATTCCTTCAACGCAAAGTGCAAAAATGTTTTTGTGCCTAAGATAATAATAGTAAACTAAAAGTATATTCATTCTACTTTATACTGACCTCCTGGTTCCATATCCACCCTTATGTCTCCTCTATTTATGACGCAAAAATGTGCATCGATCCATTTGCCACCTTTAGCTCTCGGCACCATCTGTAAAATATTGTCATATTTATTCTAGAACTAGCTGTTGGTCGCGACTTCATCCCCGTGAAATTAAAAAAAAAATTAAAGACACAGATAAATTAACTTCCTAACGATAAAAAAATTTTTGAAATCAGCCCAGTAGTTTATGAGATATTTTAATACATGCAAAAATACAAATTTTTCCTATCTATACTATTATAATAAAGCGTAAACACACACTTCTTTGTTGCCAAAGATCTCAGTAATTATAGTATATTTTTGAATAATTCTTTTTGTAATAAAAAGCCCTACATAAGTGTAGGGCGTATGACGTAAGCGTCATGCTTTAGGCTATATATTTTCACGCCATTAAACTTAGGGGGTTAATATTTTATATAAAAACCCTAATGTGGGAAAGAGACCATAAGTTGCTGCCAACATCAAGAAAGCAAAATTGTCATAGTAAGGTAATTGGTATTTTGACATTTGCAATTGAATATTTGACACATGTAAACAATAAAATAAAATTTTCACAATTTTATGCGGATGAAGTCGCAGGGGAACAGCTAGTTTATAATATTAGTATAGATATGTAGTAGTAATAAACACTTAGTTTATTAAATGACATGTGAAAAAAACTGTAGGAGTTAAAGCAAATAAATAATGAAACGTACTGCATCCATATAAGCATCGCAAATAAGGCTTCCCAAGTTGCATTCGGAACAAGCGCATCTCGATGACAAATGAACTAAGGAAGATCCAATTTTCCGCGTAGCCATTCCCGTGATCTCGGGAAGGCACTGATTTATCTTCTCCAGTACATCAGGAGCTAGGAGAAAACGGAATCAATAACAGAAATTTTTGAAGATAAAATTTGCCGTTTCCAATACGCGTAGAATTCTAGTGATGAAGTATTCAAAATTTAATAATAGCTTCCTACTTCGTTTTACAATGTACTCTAAATCCATCCACTTCAAGTGTATCATTTTTTAAATAAATTAAATTTTCATAGCGTAAGAATTTTTTTTCTTACCTTGTATAACTTCATTTCCTAAGTAATGTGGTTGACCTTCCCAATCAACGAGGTTCCCCTGGTTATCAAAGTGTAGTTTTATTTCTCCTAAATACTGAGCGTGGGCAGCTGCTTGTACAATTAATACCTAAAAAAAACTTATAACATCTTCAATCACATGTAAAAAATCGGTAAAGACTATTTGTTAAAAAAATTGAGCTAAAAAACATACTGGTTTTATTCCTTGTCTGACTACAAGGGGGTATGGCCCTTGTGGACGAAAAGTTGAGTTTTCTGGTGGGTCGTCGTTATACAGTAGAGTGTGACTATGTCCTCCTACAATAATGTCTATGTATGGACCTCCATTTTGAGCTATCTCCCTGTAAATATTCCATAGAATAACGAAAATTACTAGGGTAAGTTATGTTATGTCATCCTCTGTGTATAATACTACCAGCATTGCATCAAAATGATTAGAAATGTCACTTCTGCTTATTTTTGTCTTCTAACATATAACTAAATTACTATTTATAAATCCTATTTTTCTAATTCTAATAGTGCTATTTCCTTGCTTGTATTTTTACTAGCTTTTGCTCCCGACTCCGTCCGCGTAGAATTAATAATATAATAAAAAGTATTAGCTATGTCAAATTTCATCGAGATCTGTTGAGAAGTTCAGGCTGCACACTCTAGTAAACATTAATCCATCCACCTAAACTGTGTTATTTTTAATATTAGTATTTTTTTTTCGTACCTGTCAATATCAATACCACAATGAGACAATACTATAATGACGTCAGTACCATTATTGTGTAATTTTTCCGCTTCTAATTTAACAGCCTCTACTTCGTCTGTAAATTTCAAACGCCCTGTAGATGCTAGTTCCTAAAATATTCAGTGCATACAATAATCAGCTGTAAGTTTTTATAAATAAAGTACATTTTCTTTTTGAAATACATACGTTAGTAGACGAAATTATTACTCCTATAATTCCGGTCTTTCTTCCATTTCTTTCAACAACAATACTAGGGTAATATAAACCTTGTAGAGATGGCTCCAGATCATCTATTATGTTTGCTGTTACTACTTTTGAGTTCAAATGCTTCAAATAAGGCACAACTCCTTCAACACCATTGTCAAATTCATGATTTCCTAGAACCTGAGGGGTTATATTTTTCATTAGTTACACATGTTGCTGAAGAAAAAATATCCTCACTTTTGCGGATAGTTTCCTACAGGCCCCTTAAAATATTTTGACCGAGCACTATTTCTTAAATTACAGGTTAGCAAATTCCAAAACACTCAAGACTTGCTGCAATACAGTTTAAGACAGTAGTGGTTGGATTCGAACCTACGACCACTCGTTCAATTCGGCCTTTCAAATATTTTGTTACTCACATGAGCGTCATGTGGCAGCATATTCATAAAATCCTGGGTGACATTCCATCTCAGCAAGTTATACCAAATCGTGCCCTGGAAGCTGTCACCTCCGTTAAGCAGCAGTGAATTAGGTTCACGCCTCAAAGCCTGTCTCACAGCGGTCGTTAAGCGAGCAAAGCCTCCGGTGCAGGGCGCTACTGAGGGATTACACACGCCACCTGCTGGATTGGTCTCTACAAACCTGCCAATGCAATCAACTTGAGAAATATATGACGTCACAGTACTCTAGTAACACATTTCACAGTTTAGACTAAATCATCGATCAACTTCACTTGCTGTAGAAACACGACCGCAGAACAAAAGCGCAGTAGTTGCTTGGCTTTGAGCTGAATTTTGAGTCTTAACTAGAATCCCGAGCTAAATTTGGACAGTAAAATATTGAAAGGATAACAATCTCGGTAGACAAAGCTCTAGGTTTAAACAACGTATAGTTTGGTAAGGTTAACATAATAAATTTAATAGTACATAATGTTTAAATACGAGCAATAATCAGTATGGGCATTATTTAACAAGATAATTATTAACAATTAAATTAATAATTAGGACTCATTTTGTTCACCAATTAAATTATAACAAATAATTTTAATTATAGGCAAATTGCTATTATCATAAAATAAATACTTACCTCGCATGAAAATCATTATAATGTAAAATATTCAATGAAAACTCATTTTCAGCAAACGAGACGGACAAAACAATGTAAATTATTAATGCGATTTTCATTTTCATATGAACATTATTATGTAAAAACCACTCCTTTACACTCCGAGATTTATAATTAGTTTGATAAGATAAATCAGAAACGAGTATTTAAAGTGTATTCATGCACGTTTCAAATTATCTACAAAGATTGTCATTGTTAGCTGTAATCTTACTTATCTCACCGCGATATCATAATTACATCGTTCGTCAAATTGGAGATTCGTATAGAACTAGCTGTAGAAACTTCGTAAGCGTGAATTAAGAAAAATAGCCTATTTGAAACATCCATAAACTTTCCATAAACAAGCTAGAATCGATTCAGCCTTTTGGAAGATTACTCAAAACAAACACGGACTTACGGACAACGAATAAATTCGGCAACTGCTCTTCTATTGCAATATTATTTAATTTATCTCTAGACAGTTACAAAAAACAAAACCGACTTCCAAATAAAATACACTAAAAACAAGATATTCTCAAGAAAAAAACAGTACACTAAAAAGTAACGAAATAATTCCTTGAAAATAGTAAACCTACCTTATTGTAACACACATAACACACATAAAAAAAAATATATCGACGAATTGAGTACCTCCTTCTTTTGGGAAGTCGGTCAAAAAGAATATAATCACTTCGTTTTATTTAGTTTTATTTACGTCTCATTAAACTACCCTCCTTTTTGTGTCGCAAACACTTATAACGAACGAGTCATTAGGGTATAATGCTGTCACTAAATCATTCGACATAAGTTTAAAATGATCTTTTCATACATTTTGTACGTGAAATTTCTTCTATACAAATTACTGTAATTTTTTTCCGTCGAAAATGAGACTTTTGGTATAAAGGTTTGAGCACTAGACGTTCCATGTATATAAAATTATAAGTTTATTTCACACGCCTGGAATACAATCTAAACCTTAAGCAACAGTAGTTTAAGTACATTTTTCAGTGACACGTAGTATCTAAGATAACATTTTAATACTAAACTGAATTACTGAATTTGTCATTCATGTTGAGAAATTGTTAAACGTATAAGAACAAAAAAACTCTTTGAAAGCCCACATTTTAACAGCTTCACATTTCAACTGTCATATAACATTAGGAGTCATTATAGCAATTGTTTGTCCTTATTTTTACATCAATAAGATTTGAAATTAAATTTACTATCTCATTCTTTAGCGTATTTTAAATCTTCGTTTGTTTAAATGTTAGGCAGAACTAACTGCAATTTACAGGCAACCAAAGACAATCGCTTTCGAAATACATGTGCTAATCTCATTTGGCTTGCGACCATTCTATACTAGTATAAAAGGGAAACATTTGTATTTTTGCATGTATTAAATAACCCAAACACTTCTAGGCTGATTTTAAAAATTCTTTCACCGTTAAAGCGCTACGTTATCCGTGAGTAACATGGGCTTTTTGTTATTTTTTACTCCACACGGACGAAGTCGCGAGCAACAGCTAGTCTTACATAATCTGTATTGAAGAGTTACTCAATTATAGAATAGCCTTATCTCCTTGCAAATAATGTTTTGTCGCAATGGTTATATATCAAAATAAGGGAGAAATGGCGTAGGAACTTTACATGAAGTTCTTTCTTGGTAGTAATTGTTCATACAATATACTCGTAGGTATCGCCTTCTAGTTTGTAAGCTAGTTGTATTTTGTGAACAGCTCAAACACAGCTCTGTACGAACATAAAACAAATGTCACTCAACGTTCTTCATAAAGTACAGGCTGGCGACAGCTATTGTAATAAAGTGTAGCCGACCGTACAGGGCGATATTGAAGCTACAATACCAGAAGTTTTTTACTATTTTTAATACGATGAAAGTATTACGCTCTTTATAATTGCATCATCTTCCTTACCTTATCCTACTTCCGTAGGGTCGGCCCTATTATCCGTCATCTCAGTCATCACTCCCTTGATCATGTCATTTTTCACGCAAACCCATCCAACTCTTTCTAGATCTTCATAATTGTACATCGTATTTTAATCTCTCTTTTTTTATATCTCAAGATAGCAAACGAGCTAGCGGCTATCTCAATCCGACAAAATGGTTAAGAGACCACTCCCTATAGAATCTATTTACAGATGCGTTGCCTACCCTTGATAGAAGAGATGAACATTAAAAAGATGTTTCCGCTTCCTATGTTGCTTCTCCTCCGTCAAATCCACTTTCCCTTTTCATCTTTTCCTTATTTCTCTGTTTATTATTCACACCCTAGTGGTCATTACAAAGTTAGGATCGGGTCTGAATTTCAAGCAGAAACGCTTGTTGTCTTTTTGTATGAAGGGTAAAGTTATTTATTAAGTTATCTTGTCCCAATTTGAATCTTAAATTAATCTTAGCATAATTTATTGGATCTTATACTTCTTAATTACATCCGTATTCTGTTGAACGTTGAAAGTGGTAATTTTAATTAAAAGAAGTAAATCAAAGATGAAATGATTAAATTTAATTTAATTAAAACCAATATTCAATTATAATGAATATGGCGTTTGAAACTTATAAGGCAGATACAGACATTTAATAAATATAGACTAGACAGAGAATAATTTTTTTTCATCGGTAACTTCTTTGTACGGTAATATCTGTTATTGTTAAATTTGACACGTCGAGACGCTTTTCAGTGTTTGAATATTGAGTGTTTGAATAATTTTAATAATTAGTTTGTTTGTGATTTTGACTATTGGACACTATATAGCTCTAGTGAGATTCTGTGAAAAATCTTATATATCTATCTATTTCTTGTTTATGGCTCTCTTACATCACAATGGGCCAGTGTCGAGTGTTTAAGGTTATTTTAATTTGGTAGATACTGGCCACAATACTCTTTGCTGTGGGATATCGTGGAAAATGTTTTAAGTAAAATGTCAACTTTGTCTACTCTATATATTTTTGAATCTCTTTGGGTAGTTAAAAATTAGCATACACAAGTATTTTTTAAATTTCATCATGTGACAAGATTATCGTTTTAAATGTTTTAAAATGTATTTCCTCATTATCTTTTTAAACGGGTAGATGAATCAATGTAAATATTAATTATCAGCACAATTCCAATCAAACAAGCGGAGCGGGACCGTATACTAATATAATTGAAATTCCCAATTCAGGATAATTGAAGATGCCTGGTAGACCTCCCTGAATAATACAAATACTCGAACATAATAGAATAACAGCCAATTTATGTCATGCAAATTAAACACAGGTTTCTAAAGGTCGTTATTGAAATTATCCACTAGAATATATAATAATTTCAAGGAAATTATTAAAATAATTTGTATTACTCTTTATTATAGAACTAGATATTTCCGTGCGACATCATCCGCATGGAATTATAATTTATTTTATTGTTTAATTTGTCAAATTCTCAATTGCAAATGTCAAAATACCAATTACCTTACTATGGCAAACTAACTTTCTTGATGTCGGCAGCTACTTATGGCCTCTTTCCCACATTAGGGTTTTTATCCAAAATATTTACCCCTTAAGTTTAATGGCGTGAAAAAATATAGCCTAAAGCGTGACGTAAGCGCTTGTGGAATGCCAGCCATCAATATGGTGAGTATGGTACCTGGCGGTCTGTCGTGTCATCCGGTGACGAAACTTCATTATGAAATAGCTGTATTAGTGTGCAGTGAAACTATATAGAGAGTGGAATATTTGCAATAAATTTTCCATCTAAATTCTGACGTTTATATTACTTCGAGTGTAGTTGACGTGCTGTGGAGAGGTGGTGATATTAAATGTCATTTGTTTCAATGTTGGAGGAAATAAATCGTCAAAAAACAATCGCTATACTCACATAGAACTACGAGTAGATATGTTTCATTCGCTACCGTAGAGTATATTTAGTAAATAAAGTCAGTAAGTATTAATTATCTATATCTACACGAATATTTCGAAGAAAAAAGACTTGTATATTTGTATGTTAATACATATATTTTAATAAATAACTCAAAAACTACTGTGCCGATTTTTTTTACTCCATTAAAAAGATACGATATTAGTGAGTAACAAAGGATATTTTTTTATGTGGACGAAGTCGCAACAACTAGTTAATTAAAAGTTATTAAAAATATATAAGTATAATGGGGCAAAGTAATTCTTAATTTTTTAACGATTAAAGTAACTGGCAACTAATAATTTTGAGTACTGGCTGAATATGCATCGTGCATTATAGATGTCAAGACGACGATATAACGACTGATGACAGTTGTCTTTGAATGGTGGAATGATGCGTTTTGTTATTATAAAATCAATTGATTAATCATTGTAAATGTTTGAAGTCGATTTGAGTGGGTTGTGAAGTTATCAATTAAGATGGTGGTCAACTAAGAATAATGTTACGCGATTGTCATTTCGTTATCTCAGATGTTTTTTAATGTAGCAATATAATAAATACTTCTAATCTATTCTTCCTTGAATATAAGTTCTGTTTTTTTTATTGTAAGTCATCATTCACTCGTAGTTGTCTCAAAGCCAGCTGCAAACTTTAATTAAAAAACTTTCTTTAAATAATGAAAAATTCATTAATATTTTTTCAGCGAGTCGCTAACAGTGCATTTTGTTAGTTGCATAAGGATTTTTATTTTCTTTTAATGCATCGTGTAGATTAATTAAAGTAACATTTATGATTTAATTATTTAGTAATCTATTTTTTTGTACAATTCTTTTGTCTTTCTCTGGGAATCAGCATTTTTTTATATTATATTTTTTCTGAAATCATTAGACAGTAATTTTGGATCTGGACTCCAAGCAGTGAAATGGCAACACAGTGCAAAGCAGGCGACGTTGACGCCATCTTGTGTTGGATTTTAAACTCGCCTCGCTTCGTTGCGCTAGAGAGTGTACATTAGAATAGGCTAGGTTATAATAAAGATAACTCATTAAAAAAAGTTGTTACTATTGATTTGACCTTGAGGAAAATTGTAGGATTGAAGCACAGTTATCTCAATTCGACAAAAATAAGACCATGTTTAAATAAAGTTCTGCATAAGTCAGATAAAATTGGAACTATTTAGTTCGTAACCTCAATTTTCAATACAGCAAAGTCCG